CATTAGTTTGTTGGAAATGCTTTTCACAAGCATATTCTTCTGGTCTTTTTTTGGGATGGTAGTGGGGGTTGTAAGTATAAGGGCTGGAGGCCAGAGGTTGATTTATGGTCTCACCATTTAGACTTGCATATTCTTTGTAACACTTAGCAAATATTTTCTAGTTGCATTTGTCCTCTTACCTCTTTCTAATTTCAAGTGAGCATGTATGTAGCTGAGCATTTTTATGTGCACGTAGGTCTGTAAAGTCTTGCAGGTGGTAAAACGTTAGTAAGAAGCTAAGAGCTTACCAGATAGTTTATGTATGTACTGAGTCAAATGAATAAATGTATAAAGCAACTTATCTAATTATATTATAGAGTAGAACAATTTTATTTCACAGGATAGGATAGATGAATAACTAGGCAATAAACAATCTCACAGTCTCCATGGCTTAACAGAACAAAAGTTTAGTTCTTAACTCATGAGGAGGTTACTGTGTTGGAAATTCTCCAAGACAGCTGTCCGATGTGTGTTGGCTCGACACTCTGGGCTGCTTTGATCACAAGATATTTTCATATGGACATGATTCCAGCGTGACTGCTGGAGATCCAGCATGGGCTAGAGACTCTGCTCCTGACAATTAAATGCTCAAACATGTCCGAGTCATTCATGTTGACTTTTGTGAGACTGACAAAAGAAGTCTTATGACCATGGGTAACTTCAAGAGGGCAGGACAGAGCTCATGTGAAAGGATGCAGAGAAGGCAGATATTGGTAGACAGTAAAACATATAGATAAACATCACAGAAATGTCAAAAAGAAAGACTAATGGCAGTGCAGAAGAGGAAGCACTCATGTTTAGCATGCCATGCAATAAAACCAATTCTGCTCTTGTCAGTAAGTGAAATTTTGTTCTTTGTTACTTCACTTTCTTATGTCAGTAGAACTGGCCTGCTGGATCTCCACATCAATCCTAGCTCCAAAGCTGGTTGGTTTGCTAGAATCTATTAGTATCAGGCTTTCCTGTTGGCCCCCCTCCCCATATCTTTGTTCTTTTCTTTATCTTTTATAAATGTCAGTAGCTTAGGGGGAAGGGATCTGCATAGGTTTTGTAAGGTTCTAGAAGATCTTAGTTTGCACTTCGAGTACTTTTCATTGCAGTTTTTTTTTTTTTTTTAATTGTTATAGGTCATGTGCACTTGCCATTAAGAGACAAAAAGGGAAAGTGGGAAATCACTCCCTAGCTCCTCCATTCTCCTCTGGAAATTTTGGGTATTCAGGCACACAGTGTGATTTTCAAGCTCCCAACCCAGGGACTCCAACCAGGCACAGCCATGTGCCTTAACCCCTGCACAACCAGCTGGGCCTCCACTGCTTCCTGAAGATACAAGATTATTTTTGCACAAAGGGATTTTTTTTTAGCATGATTAAACCAAATGATATACCCTAAGCAATTAATGTCTCCATCCTGAAGCTTAGATGCTAGTAAAAAGAGATATCTGGGTGCTCACATAAATTTAGCATAGGAATAATGGCAGATGACCATGTGCTTCTTACGTAAATAGGAGGAAAAAATGGTCTCAGGTCTTTATAGAAAGTGAGAACATCACTAAACTAAAAACAATAAAAACAAAGTTCAAATCCTGGACCCAGCGGCTTGAAAAAGACGCCAGGCATGTGAACATGCATTTCCAAAATCTTGACAGGATGGAGAAATGAAGGAGAAGGGATTGTGGTGTGATCATGGCCCAGTGGGGGATGCTTTCTCCCTATCTCTCTGTCTCTTTTTCTCTCTAGTGAGCACAAGTACTCTCTGGCAAATTAAAAAAAAATAAATCATAGGTAGGGGGTACCTCCAAGACTACTCATGAGATGGTTTTCATTAGTTTGTTGGAAATGCTTTTCACAAGCATATTCTTCTGGTCTTTTTTTGGGATGGTAGTGGGGGTTGTAAGTATAAGGGCTGGAGGCCAGAGGTTGATTTATGGTCTCACCATTTAGACTTGCATATTCTTTGTAACACTTAGCAAATATTTTCTAGTTGCATTTGTCCTCTTACCTCTTTCTAATTTCAAGTGAGCATGTATGTAGCTGAGCATTTTTATGTGCACGTAGGTCTGTAAAGTCTTGCAGGTGGTAAAACGTTAGTAAGAAGCTAAGAGCTTACCAGATAGTTTATGTATGTACTGAGTCAAATGAATAAATGTATAAAGCAACTTATCTAATTATATTATAGAGTAGAACAATTTTATTTCACAGGATAGGATAGATGAATAACTAGGCAATAAACAATCTCACAGTCTCCATGGCTTAACAGAACAAAAGTTTAGTTCTTAACTCATGAGGAGGTTACTGTGTTGGAAATTCTCCAAGACAGCTGTCCGATGTGTGTTGGCTCGACACTCTGGGCTGCTTTGATCACAAGATATTTTCATATGGACATGATTCCAGCGTGACTGCTGGAGATCCAGCATGGGCTAGAGACTCTGCTCCTGACAATTAAATGCTCAAACATGTCCGAGTCATTCATGTTGACTTTTGTGAGACTGACAAAAGAAGTCTTATGACCATGGGTAACTTCAAGAGGGCAGGACAGAGCTCATGTGAAAGGATGCAGAGAAGGCAGATATTGGTAGACAGTAAAACATATAGATAAACATCACAGAAATGTCAAAAAGAAAGACTAATGGCAGTGCAGAAGAGGAAGCACTCATGTTTAGCATGCCATGCAATAAAACCAATTCTGCTCTTGTCAGTAAGTGAAATTTTGTTCTTTGTTACTTCACTTTCTTATGTCAGTAGAACTGGCCTGCTGGATCTCCACATCAATCCTAGCTCCAAAGCTGGTTGGTTTGCTAGAATCTATTAGTATCAGGCTTTCCTGTTGGCCCCCCTCCCCATATCTTTGTTCTTTTCTTTATCTTTTATAAATGTCAGTAGCTTAGGGGGAAGGGATCTGCATAGGTTTTGTAAGGTTCTAGAAGATCTTAGTTTGCACTTCGAGTACTTTTCATTGCAGTTTTTTTTTTTTTTTTTTAATTGTTATAGGTCGTGTGCACTTGCCATTAAGAGACAAAAAGGGAAAGTGGGAAATCACTCCCTAGCTCCTCCATTCTCCTCTGGAAATTTTGGGTATTCAGGCACACAGTGTGATTTTCAAGCTCCCAACCCAGGGACTCCAACCAGGCACAGCCATGTGCCTTAACCCCTGCACAACCAGCTGGGCCTCCACTGCTTCCTGAAGATACAAGATTATTTTTGCACAAAGGGATTTTTTTTTAGCATGATTAAACCAAATGATATACCCTAAGCAATTAATGTCTCCATCCTGAAGCTTAGATGCTAGTAAAAAGAGATATCTGGGTGCTCACATAAATTTAGCATAGGAATAATGGCAGATGACCATGTGCTTCTTACGTAAATAGGAGGAAAAAATGGTCTCAGGTCTTTATAGAAAGTGAGAACATCACTAAACTAAAAACAATAAAAACAAACAAAAAGAAACCTAGGTTTTCATTTTTTTTCTAAGCATTTGGGAGAAAGTCAGGAAATTTGTTAACGTCTTTCACATTTATTTTGTGTCCAATTCTTAGTTATCATTGAATAAGAATGAAAAGAGAGAATGAGTCCCATTTGCTAAAATGGGAAAAAGGAATACTTTTCTACCTTTCTGTTTGAAAACTAAAATGGTCAAATTATCCCTAAATCTAAATTTTTTGGAAGTATGCATTCCTACATGTAAAAGGACCAGAAAGCTCAACATCACCTCTGACTCGCGGATATTTAACAAATAAAATGCGATTTCCCCGTATTTCAGGACGTTTGCTGCACTAAGAACCAGAGGTTCATGTTGTCAAACAAGATGATATGAAATGAAAAATGAAATTACAGATATTTGATCATAACATTGGAATTTAAAACACGAACTTTTGGAGATTATTAGAAAAGAGGATTCAGAATTAATACACACCCTGTGGAAGGAATTGAAACCAAGCAAACAGCACTGTTTATAAAAAAATCCCAGCGCCCCATTTCCAGTGTACCCCTCTCCAGGGGGCAGCAGAGATGCCAAGGAGAGTACCAAGATCGTGCGACCTAAGAGGCCGAGCTGGTCCGGGCAGTGCCAGCGCCAGGATCAGGACGGCTTCCTCAAGGGCGGGATGGAGGGGCGGACTGGGGCGGGGGCGGGAGGAAGAGGCGGAGAGGAGACTTCACAGAAAAGCTTCGGCAGGCGACGCTCTCTGCCAGCCGGACGCGAGGTGGGGT